AGATAGGTGGTGAAATAAAGAATTTGCAGATATACAAAAGCTGCAAAAATTCATCAGCAGTAGGCACACACTGCAAAAAAATATTAAGGGAAGTCCATGACATTATGGAGAATCATTTAAACGCAAGCTGTTCTGACTTTCTCAGTCAACAACTAGAGACTGATCTTGGGCAATCACATCAGGTGTCATCCCCAAACGTTAATGCATAACATCTGCTTCCAGTTACAGCTATGATGAACATTACTGTGGGAAATAAGTGTCAATGAAATTCTTCTCTATTAGGATGGACTAGGGTTATACACGCAGCTCACACAAAGAGGAGCTGCCAAATTTCCATCGTTAGAGATCCAATTTCTGCTCCTGTTTTCTCAGAAAAAGTACTAAATTGCTGCTGCTTCTACAATAGAAGAAAATTCCATTTATCAAACTAATTAAGCAACTCGTAATAAAGTGCTGATACAGCTTTCTTTTCAAGAGAGAAAAATCACAAGAATACCTCTGAAGGATACCAAAAGACATTTATTTTTGGTTTCTTACTGCAAACATACACCAGATAGAATAAAACAGAATGTGAGAGTTTTAGGAGCCAGCAGAGTAGTGAATTGACAGGCACCAAACAACAGGTGAGCCAAATCTCAGAAAGGACAGAATCAAGGAAGCAGGTGGGATATTCCACAGAAGAGGCAGTGGGGGACAAACCTAGGACAGACGCAGCAATGACAATCAGAAAGCGATACAACCAGATGCACAAGAATCAGGAGTGGGTGTCAGGTCATGTGGGGTTTCATGTGGTTCAGAGGTTCAAGGACTTTGAAAATTAATTACATACAGCACATACATAATATTTTCTTCTCATGTAGGATTTTGCATCAACCCGTAATAACTGAGATTAACAACCGGGATGAAAACCTGGTGTATAATTTCACCTTAAGTGTCCTGCTATTACACAACACTTATTATCACTTCTATATGCCATAAGGGCAGAACGCCAGAGATCAGACCAACAACTTCCATCTCCATGTAGATCTCTGGGATTACATACCAAGGCAGGTAGGGAAAAATAATGAATATTTTTAGGGGTCTCATGAAGAAAGCCACAGCCCATGAAGGCTGAGGCCATTGAGTATGCACTGGCTTGGGCCACACGAAGCACCACTAGAGGCAGACGCCTCTTTTTCTAACCACGGCTTTGTGTGATGTTCTTTTACCAACTTTGTAGTGCTTACACACAAGTAATGAGAAAACGATGATTGACTCTGGCCTGCACATCTGACACGCTATCCAAAACCTCAGATACTACGTTCCTATTACGTGTGATCTAGATGACAGATGGGCCGGCAAGCAGTGACACCAAGATATGAAATCACGTGATGTCCGGAACACATTCAATTTTGCAACTTGGAGGAAAGGCATTCTGCTTCACAGCATACACTAGTACATGGTTTTAAAGTACTCACAGAACAAAAAGAAGTGGTTTCTAAACTTTGTATATCCACTGATTACTTGAGTAACTTTGGACAATTCAGGAAACCTTTCCTATGTTTTATTTTCTCAACTAGCTACCAATACTGGAGGATCCCTTGAAAAGTCTTAATACTAAAACCAAATTTGTTTAAGAGCATGAATCAATACTGTTCCTTCCTTTCAAAACTGGTTATACGATTTTTAACATCTGATATGGAAAACTCCAGTTCATGCTAAGTCATGCTGACATCCTCTGATACAGCAACATTCAAAGTGTGATCTGTCGGCCAGTATCAGCCCACAACTGTTAAGGTCTGGGGAAGGATACCTCTGAAACTAAGTAAGCATCTGGAAAGCAATTAGATAGAACAATTTTGTATCTACTGAATCAAAAACACAGGCCAGGTGTGGTGGCTCACACCTGTTATCCTAGGACTCTGGGAGGCCAAGGCTAGAGGATTGCTTGAGGCCAAGAGTTCGAGACCAGCCTGAGAAAAAGCGAGACCCGGGCTCTACTAAAAATAGAAAAATTAGCCAGGTGAGGTGGCACATGCCTGCAGTCCCAGTAACTCAGGAAGCTGAGGCAGGAGGATCGCTTGAGCCCAGGAGTGTGAAGTTGCAGTGAGCTATGATCACACCATTGCACTCCAGCACAGATAACAGAGAGAGACCCTGTCGCAAAATAAATAAATAAATAAATAAAGATTTAAAAATAAATAATTGGGGCTTGTGGTCTGTATGACTTCATGCACCATTTTGCGTTTCTAGCAATTCATCTGAATTTTCATTGTATTTTACAGAAGTTCGTGACAGACTAGAAATACAGAAATATGGTCTCTCACCATTGATAACTGGAGAGGTGCCTAAGAGATGATGGAACGGAACGCGGAGGAAAGTCCCTGATGCGGGAACTGCCCTCTGTAAGAGCCCTGACGGCGCCATCTCACCGGCGCACTGCGGCAAGGCCCGCACGCGCTCGCCGCCTGACGTCAGAGCGGTCTGACGAAAACCAGACATTTCCGTAGCATTCGAAAAGCGAACTTAGGAATTCTAAGGAATGCCAAAGAAAATTATTACAAAGACATGGCAGTTTTTTAGAAACAGGAGATGTGGAAAAAAATATTTTTAATGGAACTAATAAAACCTCAATTTCTCCCTAGATTTTTAGAAAAAGAACAGACATTCAATAGTTTCTCTTCAGGTTTTCTTTTGCCTGGAAAGAGGAACGTGGCATGAAGGGACGAGCTCTGACTCAGGGCCGGCAACCCCAGCCCCTGCCCCTGTGGCCCAGCACCGCGGTGACGCCCAGCTCCTGACGGGAGCCCGGGGACAGGTCGTTCCAAGGCAGCGGGAAGTAAGGCTGCCGCTCAGCCAACTCAGACAGGGAGACCGTCCTAGACCGCCCACACAAGCCCAAGGTAATCGCAGGGGTCCTCAGACGCAGAGGAGGAGGCAGGAGAGTGAGAGAAGATGACAGAGAAGGTGCACGGGGTGATGCAAGGGAGCCTCGACCAGCCATCGCGGCTCTGAAGATGGAAGCAGCCACAGCTGAGGACTGTGGTGGCCCCTGGAAGGTGGAGAAGGCAATGAGGCGATGGCCCACGAGAGCCTCTGGAGGGAATGCAACCCTGCCCACACCTTGGTTTTAGCCCAGCAAGACCCGTGTCAGGCTTCTCACCCATAGATTATAAGATAACAAATTTATGTTGCTTTAAGCCATTAAGTTTGAGCTAATTTGTTAACAAAAACTGGAAACGAGTACACCTGGCCATGTCATCAGGCACGTGGTAGGCGCTCACTAAATCCACCGAGTCTGTGTGCTTGAGAAAGCCCTTTGACCTTGGACAGCCCGAGGCTCATGTACTGGGCTCAGATGCTGCACTTTGTGTAGCCAGCACGAAAGTCAGGGTGACGGCCCGGGGCCCTGACAGCACATACATTTCCAATTATCTAGTACCTTCTAAAAATCTCAATAAAAGGGAGGGTTTTTTTTGTTTTTGTTTTTGTTTTAAACAGGATGAAAAGAGAAGAACTGGCTAAAAAAAAACCAGTCCAATATTTTTGAGTAGGAAAAGTCAAAACCATGTTCAGTCTTAGTTCAATGATGGTCCATTCATTCATCCACAGCTGCTTCCCTGTTCTCAGAGACGCCTCTAGCTCCTGCCCTCAAGATACAGCGGCCTGTCCAGACTCCTGCATCTAGTCCGGCTGAGCGGGTTACTGATCCTGCAACCTGTGTGCGCCTCCCTGACTGCATGAGACACGCCCAGCAAAACATATTTACCAACACTTCTGATCTTTTAGTTAAAATGTGATTTTTTTCATGCCTATTTAATGTGTCTTTGCAAGGCTAAAACAATAATTGCTCATTTAAAATAAGCTATTTTACATTAGCAGCAGTTCTTTCATATTGATGTTAAATAGCAAAGAGACCCTGGTCTTCTTCTGTGAGCAAGAGTCTCAAACGCTTCATTCCCAGCATCCCTGCCCAACCTTACCTTGTCACAGAAGACCTTTATCTGGCAATAGGCCCTGTGCACTGGCTTGTTGCTGCGGTTGTTGTAACTGTAGGTGTCAATTTGAATGTTAAGAGGCAACCCCTTCACGCCCTTCTGAGAAGAGAAATCTGTGCTTAAGCAGTTCACAGAGATGAAAACCTGCAAACAGAACAGAAGGCTCCATAAGCAACAGGCACCAAAAGTCAACCCTAGCACAGCTTGTGAAAATGCTAACACATTGCTAAATTACTCACACATCTTTTACACGAGAAACTTTTAAAAAGAGGCAATAAAGAGTTTACTTTGAAACTACTTTAGGTTACAGGAATAGCACTCTTTGAAGGGGAAGAACAGACAGCAGCTCTGAACCTCTGTTGACTTTCCCTTCCAGAATCTCTATTTAACATCAGCTGGGACGAGTTTACCAGGTGCTGGCCATCTGCCCTGATGTCATTTTCCAAAGTTACCAGCAGCATAGCTTTCTCTGCAGCTGACTCACAACTTAGTACAAACTCTCTGAGAATTCACCTATGTTTATGTGGATACCACCTCTTAGGATAACCTATAATACCCTATATCCTAATATTTCAGAACTTACGAAATCAGTGTTCCTCTAATTCACACTTTTACGATTACATGATTCCAGTGAAGCTCTCTCAATCCCTGTCTATCCAGACTAAAAAGTCTTAATTTTTTTTCCAGTTTGTCCTTTTGGTTATATAATCATACTGGGCTCAGTCCTTAGGAAATAATTTATAATTTACAATAATTTCCATATCTCCATTCTGAGTGGTCACCATCAGCTCAAGGGTCTTTTCATTATTTAAATATGATTAGATTCTTATCTTTACATGCCCAGGTTAAAACTAAGATGAAAAAGGTAAGGTGTGCTAAAAGGCTCAGAATTTAATGAACACAAAACACTAACAAATGCACTCCTCCTTCGAGGAAGTTCTGCATAGACGTGGTCAAAACTTCCTAGGAGAGTAACTTCCTAGGAGAATAACATCTTCCTAGAAGATGTTGTGCTGCTGAGTCTATTTCCATGAAAGAAAAACCCAATTCTTTAAGAACAGAGATGGGTTCCACTAGCCAACCACAGAACAATGCCGGAGAAAACTGTCCAAACCAGGCTTTCAGGCTGTCAACCCATGGTTTCAACAGTCTGTTCTCTGTGTCGGTTGAGCAAGCCCCCCTCACCCACGAGAATTCTCACAGACTATTTCCAGGGCAGCAGGTTTGCCCCGCTGCTCGCATCAGCAGCCGCACGCGAATCAGCGACACCCTGAGCAGGCGGGAATCTCTCCAGGCAGGAGTCTCCTCTTTCTGAGAGGAAATCAGAAGATGCCTCTTCTCCTCTCCCTATCCTGGGCTCCAAATCCATTATTTTACCTTCTAGTAAATTTTCCCAAAAGTTAAAATAAATTGTCAAATGATAAATGTGACTCTGGAAGTTGTTATTAATACTTGGGGAAGCCCAGAGTATAGCAGATTAACATGCTCTGTTTTCTTCCCGTTTTTGTCATTCTGGATTTTTTAATGTTTTTGAGCTCCCTTTCAGCTAGTTTTAGAATTTATTTCTGGTGCAAGAGCACCACAGAGTGGACATGACTGGAATGACAGTTTTTAAAACTTAAGGCTGGCACATCTCCGAGACCCTGAAGTGAGACAGAGATTCCTTCTGGACCGTGGGTCAGCAACTCGCTTGAGCCCAACACTCAAGAACAGGTCTACCACAAGCAGCACTGGGTGTCACTGGCCCAACTAAGATGCAGATGGGGATAAATTTATTTCAGGGGTGATAAGAACATTAAGATGAAAGAGAAGGAAGGGAGCGGGAAGAGAAGGAGAAATCAGAATCCCAGGGACACGGAACACTCTCAGGAAGGTATGCAAAACGCCGATAGGGTTCCCAGCCTTGCTCTAGTCTAGATACTGTTTCTAAGCAGGAAAAGACCAAAACATCCTCAAAAGATTGAGGCTTTGCCCAGGTTAACAGATTTAAAAGTCATCTCAGTCTCCTCATTGTCTCTGGGATGCACTTTGCACACTCATTTCTGCCTCCCCGACCTTGCACGCTTCCTGCTCCTGGCTTCCCTGCGTGTCCAGCCAGGCCCCCCAACCCCCACCACTCTGGCCATCTCCATGTGCAAAGGCCCGGCTCGGGGCCCACCCCACACGTGGTTCCCTTCACGCAGCACACAGACCGCTGGCCGACCTCAGTGCATCAGCACCACCACCCTGGTATCTTCCTTTTACAGACGAAGCCCAGAAGGATGTTTAAAGTTGTCCCAAGGTGGAAAACAAGTGAACTGGGAGGACTTTCCCCTCGTTCACACTGCTGCCTCTTTCCCATCTGCTCAATTCCCTGGATAATCCTGGCTCTCACTTACTACCTGGCTGGTCTGCGTTTGATACGCACGGGCTTCCCTCGCTGGCAAGACCACAGGAGCTAACAGTAAGTAGGCCAGGTCTGCGCTCTGTGCTTTGTCCCTTTCAACACTCAGTATGGAGCCTTATCCTGCCTGCCATGATTTTTCTTCCCATTTAACTTATTTCCAGTAAATAAGCAAATTGCTGTAATTTTAAAAATGCCTAGACCTAAAGCCAGCCAATGAATCTGATTACCTGAATGTGTTTCTGCAGAAAGTTTTTAAAAGCTGGCAATAGTAAAGCCACGTTACAAGCCTTAAGGACATTAAAGTTGTTAAGATCCCCGAAAATTTTTTTTTTTTAATTTCAGCATATTATGGGGGTACAGATGTTTAGGTTACGTATGTTGCCCTTGTGAAAATTTTAATTATGGGAATCATTTTCTTAAGACACAGCTAATTACTAAAGCTTCACTATGACTACTGCTAAGAACTTAGTGACTCTCTAAATGTTAAGAAATTGTATGTAATTTTTTTTAAAGTACTACAGCAAAGACTTTCAGGCCAAGGATGTCATTGAAGAGTACTTCAAATGCAAGAAATGAACAAATAAAACTTTGGCTCACATTCCTCAAAACAAACAAAAAACTATTAATAGATGTAGATCCAGATACATAGGCAAAGCGTGGCTCATGTGAATTTCAACAGTATTACAGAAAATTTGTACTGTGACTTTGTATTTTTTCTTACCTATTTTTAAAAAAAACGCTTCATATATAATCCATAAATCCACAAATCAGAGGTAAGGAGACAGTCTATGGAACACACTTAAGTTAAAAAAGAAAAGAAGAAAGTTGTCCATGCAAACCACTGAGCACACAAAGTAACCAAACCACCGTATTTTTCATTTTACCACCAAATAGAAAAATCTAAACTTTTCTGTCATTCTGGGCCACGTGGCTCAATTCCTAACTCAAAAACAGCTGCCTGGGAAAGTTAGACTTTACCTTCAACAATTCCAGGAAGCCTGACCCAAAGTGATATTCCCTTAACAAGAGGATTTCATGGTAATCCAACCCAAAAGCTAACCCTCCCCTTCTGTCCCAGTATCAAGTTTCTATTCAAAGCAAAAATAAGCAGGAGCCAAATCCCAGGATCAGCATAAATACGGAGCCTTCAGAAAGGCTTTACTCTCACTGGTGCTCGTGATTGCGTGCAATCTCTTCCTTTTATACATTTTTCTGTTATTTAAAAATCAATTCTTTCCAAACTTGGCAGTTTTCTAAATTTATTAAAGGAAGTTTACAGCAGTCCTAACCCAGCATTTAAAAAACACCACTTGCCTACATAAATACAAAAATACACCAGTAAATAATGACAAAGATGTGGAATATAAGCACAGAAGGCCAGGGACATGAGGAACAGGGACAGTGGGTTAAAGACCCCAAGAGAGGAAAACAGGGACAGTGCTCACGAGGCCTCTGACAGTAGGACCCAAAGCAAGAACACAAAGGACAACCAAGGGGACGTGAGCTGGTGCTGACGGGACATATTTGCCACGTTTGCCTCAACCAGAGGCTGCAAGGGGAGCAACGTGCCCATGTTCCGTCCTACCAAGAGGTCATGTGCTCACTAGAAGCAGCTCAGGTCTGCAAATCAAAACATCTGAGTTTGGGCCGGGCGCGGTGGCTCACACCTGTAATCCTAGCACTCTGGGAGGCCGAGGCGGGCGGATTGTTTGAGCTTAGGAGTTTGAGACCAGCCTGAGCAAGAGTGAGACCCTGTCTCTACTAAAAAAATAGAAAGAAATTAGCTGCACAACTAAAAATATATAGAAAAATTAGCCGGGCATGGTGGCGCATGCCTGTAGTCCCAGCTACTTGGGAGGCTGAGGCAGTAGGATTGCTTGAACCCAGGAGTTCGAGGTTGCTGTGAGTTGACGCCACGGCACTCTAGCAAGGGCAACAGAGTAACACTCTGTCTCAAAAAAAAAAAAAAAAAAAAAAAATCTGAGTTTGGTCCCAGCTCTGTCCTAACTAGCACCTTGATCATGGGCGACAGTCCTTACCTGTCCAAGGGTGGGTGAGTTAGATGATCTTTAGATCACTTCGACCTCCAGATGCCTACGATTATATATTTATATTGAAAGAGGATGAATCCTATATCCTTACTCTGTTTTTTACTGGTGATAATTTTGTGTAATACATTTACCAATTGATTTTTTTATAAATCGTATTATTTTTAAAGTGCCATGTAAGGTTGCCATTTACAGTAGCCATAGTAACTACTTACATAAAATTAAGATTCTCACACAGCACTGGCTTTCAAAGGTCCCGTGCCTGCCCCCAACTCAATGAATCAGAAAATTCGGGGGAGGCTGCGGGGGTAGCGAGCTCTCCAGGTGGTTCTATGTGAGTTTGAGACGCGCATCTATGAAACTGCGTGCTTCCCAGCCCTGACCGAATGAGAAATCACCTGGGAGAATTTAGCACCATACCAAGGCCTTGGCCACACCTCTAGAGATTCCGATTTCACTGGCCTAGGTGGGTTCTAGATATCAGGACTGATCAGCCAAGATAAAACCACTGCTGTAAAGTGATTAACCTTCTATATACTTACACACTTTGATCCATAAAAGGTCTCCTTTGGATCCAAAACTCAGATTATTAAAACAAGTCCCAACACATGGTTTCCTGTCTTTAAAGAGTTCAGATATTCAACCTGTATTTATATGTATCCCATCAGGATTTTTTAAATTAAAAAACTTTTTTACAGAGGCACAGCCCT